GATAGACCATCAAGGCGGGTAATGCTCGACAAGGGTGACACCATGCAGGGTCGACCATCAAAAGGGGGAGCCTGGAATAGGGTGGAGATATGCCTAACTGAAGGCATGCAAGGGCCGGCACTAGGGTGATGAGGGCAGTGGGTGAGGGAAACATGCACACAACTCACCGACTGGGGGAGGAAGGAGCTAGATCTGGGAGCAGGGAAGCCAAGATAACGCTACGGTCCCAAAGCCTATGCGATACCAAGGGAGAGCCCAACTCAAAGAGACCCAGCTAAGTGAGAACCATCATGCTACAGATGCAAGGGAATGTGCAAGGTAGGATGGTGGCGTGAAGTGGTCACGTCCAAAGTAGCTGAAGCCGATAAGGTAGCTGAAGTCGTCGAATCGGTCGATGACGTCGATGAAGAAGCAGTCGAGTCGATGTGGAAGCAGAGCCGCAAAACGCTGACATCCTGAAGAAGAGTTGATGATGGAGTACCTGATGGTGTGAGTCAGTGGGGAAAGATGGAGGATAAGAGTGTCAGTCATCGTAACGTGAAGGGCGACGATGAGTGCACTGTGGACGCTCGGAGGCGACTATCTGCGGCTGAGGAACGGCCTCAGAGGGAGCGGGCTCATCCTCAGCGATCTCCTCAGCCGGAGGAGGAAGAGGGTCAGTCGGCTGAGTAGAAGCAGATGTCCCAGCACGACGAGCACGATCATATGCACGCACCAACACCCTGGCGTGCTGCAAGTGCTCGAGGGGCTCCCAAGTAGCCTCCTCATCAGGGTAGCCCTTCCAACGCACAAGGTACTCGATGCATGGAGAAGTATCGTCGGTAACTCGGCGTGATACGATGTCGGAAACAACGAACTCCTCGTGATCGTCCACCATGATAGGTGGAGGGCGCTCATAAGGACGTCCGGCGAAGCACTCGGACGGTCTGCGATAAGGACGCAGCAAGGAGACGTGGTAAACATCGTGTACGCGAGCCTGTCGAAGGTAATCAGGTAGCTTCACACGAAAGCTGACCGGAGTAGCGGCAGTATCAGAGCCGACGGCCTGAAGGATGCGGCATGGACCGAAGAAACGACGCCTGAACTTGCGAAGCATATCTGCTTCGAGCTGTAAGTGGCGTGCGTCGACGAGCACATCGTCACCGACTTTGAGTGGATGATCCATTCGTGATCGGTTCGCTCGTGCGGCCATGCGAGTCTCGGAGTCGGCTAAACTCTCGTGTGCGCGCTTCATAATCGCCGCCATGTGGGCGATCGAGTCGTCAAGCGCAGGGCAACGAGTGTCTGGGCGCAACTGCGATGGTCGTAGGAAATCCGCAGGTACGCGATGGTGGTAGCCGAGGTCGCAATACAATGGCAACATCCCCGTGGCTGGCGAAACAGCATGGTTGTACGCAATCTCCTCGTGGCCTAAGTGTAAGTCCCACTGCTGGTCATCCCTAACAAACTTTCAGAGGATATTACCGAGAGTTTTGTTGGTGACCTCAGTTTGACCATCCGTCTGAGGGTGGTAAGACGATGAGAAGCGGAGCTGGGATCCGTACACCTCGCGTAGGTGTCGCCAGAATGTGCTGGTAAAGCGAGGGTCGCGGTCGGAGATGATGCCCTGAGGTAAGCCGTGATCTCTCACGACTCGGTCGAAGACGATGTCGGCGACCTCACGAGCGCTAATGCGATAGCGGCACGGAACAAAACGTGCACGCTTCGTGAAGCGATCGACGACGACCAAGATAGCATCATGACCGCGCTGAGTGGGTGGGCGGAGGGGACCAATGAAATCCATCGAGATAGATTGCCAACGACCTTCAGGTATAGGTAGGGGCTGAAGTAACCCATACGGAAGGTGGTTCACACTGTTCACCTCCTGGCAAAGAGGAGACTCCTGGATGTAGGCTTTAACAAAGTCCTTGGACTTCGACCAGACGTATAGGTGGCAAACACGAGCCAACGTCTTGTGAAAACCCATATGACCGGCAGCTGCCTGGTCATGGAACTCTTCTACAGCCTGGACGCGGAGCTGTCCGGTGGAGGGAACGCAGATACGTGGTTCTAGCTGACCAGATCTGTCATGCCAGTACACGAGGCCGTTCTCCCCGAGGGAGTAGGAAGGAACGGTCTTGCCACTCCGCAGTGTCGCGTGGATGACGTGATAATCGAGATTATCGACTGATCAACACTGGTGATGGAGATGGTAGCAAGATGGATGGGTTCCTGATTGTGATCAGGACGGCGGGACAAGGCATCGACGACGCTGTTCGTTTCACCCTTGATGGGGTGAGTGGTGAAACTAAACTCGGATAAGTCACGCCACCAGCGTGCCTGTCGAGGGGAGAGCTTAGACTTCGTGAGGAAAGCCTGGACAACTGAGTTATCCGTGCGCACCGTGAAGGGCGTCCCGTGCAGATAATGACGCCAATGCCGGATAGCATAAACTACTGCGAGAACCTCACGTTCATCGGCAGTGTAGTTTATCTCGACAGGTAGTAGCTGACGGGAGTAGAAGCGATCGGGCAATCCCCAGTACGAGCCTCGACAGTCCCATCCTCCGCGATGGTCGAGGAGTAAGTAATGAGAGGACTGTCAGTGGAGGGAAATGGTGGTAGGATAGGCGTCAGTCGATAAGCAGTGTCAGCAGGAGGGGGGGGGGAAAGGAGGAACATGGGGGATCTGGAGGAGAAGGAAACACCTGAGAAAGGACAATTCCTACTGCAAAATCTGACGCATCGGTGGAGACGATAAAGGGACGATCAAAATCGGGAAGGCGAAGAACCGGCGCGCAAGTCACCGCCTTCTTGAGGGCGCGGAAGGCGTCCTCGCAGAGGGGTGTCCAAAACCACGGCGGGTTCTTCTGGAGGAGGGTGGAGGTAAGGACGTAGGAATACCTAGCGTATCCCTGGATAAAATTACTATAGTAGCTGGTGAGGCCTAGAAAGCTGCGAAGCTGCTTGGTAGATGTGGGGACGGGCCACTCTGCAATAGCAGTGATCTTCGTGTCGTCCATGTGGAGACCCTGGTTAGACACATGGTGTCCTAGGAAGTCCACTTTGCGCTGGGCAAAGCGGCACTTACTGAGCTTGGCATATAAGCCATGCTTGCGTAAGCGCTGTAGGACATCGCGAAGGTGTCTGATATGGTCTTCTAAGGTACGACTGTACACCAGGATGTCGTCCAGGTATACAAGAACGTATTCTTCAAGGATGTCCCTGAAGATGTCGTTCACCGCCGTCTGGAAGGTGACGGGTGCATTGGTGAGGCCGAATGGCATCACCGTGAACTCGTAGTGGCCGAAGCGCGACCGAAAGCCGGTCTTCGGCTGGTCCTCTACGGCAACGCGGATCTGGTGGTAACCGCTACGAAGATCGATCTTCGTGAAGAAGCGGTTGTCTGCCAGACGATCAAACACCTCATCCGCGTGGGGCATGGGATAGCTGTTCTTAACCGTGTAACGGTTAAGACCGCGATAATCGATGCAGAGGCGGAGAGTTCCGTCCGCTTTGCGAGCAAAGAGGACAGGTGCACCCCAAGGGGAGTTACTAGGTTTAATGAAACCAAGTCGAAGGAGCTCCTCAAGCTGACGCTTGAGTTCCGTCACCTATGGAATCGAGAGTCGGTATGGTGCCTGATGGTGAACACGATAGTCAAACACGAGCTGGATGGAATGCTCGACACCGCGCATCAGAGGAATCCCGCTGTATGAGAAATACGGGGGGAAGACGTCGCGGTACTCCCGAATCAATTCGCGAATGACGGGCTCTAAATCAGTCGTGAACCACATGAGTTCCTCAACGTCTGCGTCGGCACGAGACGTATGGGTGGATTCGGCAGTGGACGGCGTAGGAACCTGGGATGTCGAGGGGGTATCCGCAGGCTGCGGGGTGGATGTAGARATGGGAGCCGCGAAGATGGAGGAAGGGTCAGGGGGATCGGGCTCCAGTGAGATGAGATCAACCTCGGGACAGAGTGGATCGTAGCRAAGAAGATCCATGACGTTCACTGAGTAGAGCGTGACGTCCTCCTGTCGGATGAAGTGAGCAAACTGACAGGGAGAAGTGAAGGAGATGTCTGGGTGGGACCCAGAAGGACGAGGGTCCTGGGGAGGTAGGTTTGGAGGGGTGTCACCCGTGGTTCCAATGAAGGGGACTCGATGGGTTTGACCATACTTCGTTTTGAGAATGAGTGTCTCAAACGCCCATTCGGCCTCTGTGCTACGGAACTGGCGAGACCAGGGAGTGCCAAGGATAAAGTCGTACCCAGTCTCCAGCACGTCGAAGTAGGCGGAGGAATGGTAGCGTCGAGGCGCCTGGGTACTATCCGGTGGCTGGAGGGTGAGGGAGAAGTGGAGGTCGGGGACCGTCTGATCGAAGAAGTGCTGCATCTTGTTATCTCCAAGGGTAACGGAGATAGGAGAGCGAGACCCAGAGGTAGCTAGGCGAGCTTCCTCAACCACTCGAGGGTGAACGAAATCTCCCTGCGAGCCATAGTCCCATAAAGCGCGGTACACCCTCGTAGATGTCCCTAGGCGAATAGGGATGATGAGTAGGGTGCGATCAGCGTCAGAGAGCAAGGCGAGAAGACGACGCAGGACGTTGATGTGTCTCGTGAGGCGCTCCTGACGAGCCTGCACAATGCTCAAGTCCAGGAGAGATGACACAATGTCATCGCGAGTCGCCAGCTGAGCGCCACAATGGGTTGTGCGAATGGCGCGATGGGTCGGAAGTCTCAAGCGAGAAGCGCTAGATGCGGTAGTCTGCTGGGAGGCAGACGGTACCTCGATAGACGATGGGGCGGAGAGAACTGCGTCTATCATGTCCTGAGGGTCCTCTGGTGGGGTAGCCAAAGGGGCAAACCGGGACTCGGTGGTCGAAAAGCCGGCTATGTGCGAGGCCTCAGGGGCACAGTGCACCGTGGCTAGGTGGATGGGGTTGGCCTGGTGGGGCCGGGGGGGGACTGAGATCGACGTTGACGAGAGATGTCAGCGCAGTGTCGATCGAGGGCGATATGGTATGGACACCGTGAGGGGGGGTGTCCATCTAGGGCGTCGGTGGCGTCATGATGAACGTCGAAACGTTCCTGAAGGAAGGCCGCGAAGTCGGCCAGAGTGGGGACCTCACCCACCTGGAGGCGCTGGGTATAATGATCCTCCCACGCAGTGGAAGGGCTACCTCGCAATTTGGTTGCGAGCACATCGCACCACAATTCCTGACGGGTGGTCGTCATAGAGAGCGTGCGCGTTGCTATCTGCAACCAGCGAGAGACACGGGTTGTGCCATCATACTCGAGAATGTCCGTGGTGCGCACAGGAGGATGTCCACTGTGCTGATGGCGGGGGGAGAGAGATCGAAGCGAGTGCACTGCGGCAGCGTAAGTCGAGGTCGCTGCAGGGGCAGAGGTGGAGGAAGGCTGTGGGTCGTGGCCGCTAGCGGATGGGCCAGCAGACGAGGAGGCAACAACCACGGGCAGCTGTCCCGGAATAGCCAGGTAGGAGGGAAGAGGCTGAGGAGCAGGTCGAGGGAAACGAGCCTGCATCATGGGGACCGAAGGGGTGGTAAAGTAAGAAGGGTGGGCAGCCTGTGATGGGTGAGGTTGTCTCAGAGCGAGAATCTCCGCCTGAGTCTGCGCAATGGTGGCCTGTAAAGTGGTCAAGCGGTGGGTGCGCGGGGTCGGAGGTGGAGGGGGCGGAGCGGGTCTCACAGTGGGAGGAGGAATCTCAGCCTGGGCGGTACCCTGCTGTGGGGGTGGGGGGACAAAGGCGGGAAGAAGAGGGCGGAGCCGTATTGCCGCGACCGGTGCGGGAAGCTGGGAAGCAACATCGGTGTGGGTCGATGAAACTGCTGGGCCTCGAGGCGATACCTGGACCGCAGCACGTACGACAGTAGTAAAGACGGTAGGGGCAGCCGTGGCCGGGAGAACTGCCGCAACAGACGGGGTGGTCTGAGCGGCAGCAGCACTCGCCACTGGTGCGGGGGAGTGTTGGGCCTGGCCCGTAGAGGAGGGGGAACCACGATGTCTCCGACTCTGGAGTCGTGGGGAGCCGGACTCGAAGCCGGTAGGCGATGGGGTATGGGAGCAGTGGGGAGAGTGATGAGGAGAGCCCTTGAGGCGGTTGACGTCAAGGGCAAGCGCATTGATTTGCGCTTGCAACGGTCCAAGCGTACTAAGTTGCGCCTAAATCGCTACGAGGGTGGCATGAAGGTCCATCGTGTCCGCATGGGCCTGACACTGACCCGCTGGCTGAACGCTCACCTGGGAGGTGGACGGCGCCGCGGTGATCTCCTCAAAGGAACTCCCTTCCATGGTCGGAAGGGAAAGGGAGGCAGAGCTCACGGGGGTGTGTGGGGAGAGGGGCCCGCCGATAAGAGGAAGGGGACCGCAGGAGCGGAGTGAGTATGTGTGAGTCCGCTCACCCCGGATTTGGCGGGTCGCGCGTGAGAAGAACGCGCCAAATCGCTCGAGGGGGGAGGAGCCGTTCGGGTCCAGGGTGCCCGACGGGAGGAGGCGGGAGAGTAGGGGGTTTAGAAGAACCCTAAACCCTAGAAAACCCTAAGCAAACCCTAACCGGAGTTTAAGTGGTTAGGGGAAGGTAGCGGCGACCTAATCAAGAAAAAGAAAATATGGAAGGGGGAGGGGGGAAATAAAATAGAATAAACAATAAAATTT